AACCCTTCTTTAGTCCATTTCTTAATATCATGTGCTTAACAGGACAAGAAATGGCAGAAGACAGAAAGTTAAAGGTGCAAGGTAGGAATTAGAGAGAGTGGGGAAAAGAGAGAACAGCTATCCCTAGTGAGACATAACTAAGAACTAAAAGGCCAAAACAGAGGAAATTTCTTTATCCCACATGCTCCAACACAAGCCTAGTCATATACATCTTTGTAAAGGCTGCTCAACACATTTTTGCTGGTGCCTGCCTTAAGCCTTGTCCTCTCTGCCTACAAAACATCTAAGCTGTCTTTCCATGGCAAATAACTCTTTGCTGTAAAGCCAGAGGAAGAGCTGAAGCAGGTAACAGAGTGCAAGAAGGCAAGATGCTGGTGACCAAAACTCAACAGCTACATGAGACAACCTGAGTTAGGGCCGTCTTACCAGCATTATGGGCCCCAGGCAAAGCAGTATACTGGGGCCCCTATGACAACTACTCACAGGAATAAAAATGTAAATGGTCGATAAAATTAAACAAAAATTTGCATGTTAGTATTAATAAAAAATGCAGTAAAATGTAATAAACATGTTGCTGTATTTATATGATACAAAGTGCATTGAAGGGTTAACATACACAGGATTAGAATGGAGCCCCTTTCAAGATACATCAATTTTCAAGCAGTAACAAGTTGCTTGTTGGTAAAAAATTAAGTCTCAATATTTTAGAGCATTTCTAGAATTAATAAAACTTCCTTCTAGCATTCCTGTTTTCTTGTGACTATAATTCAAGTCGCATAACTGAAATAGTGGTATATTTGCTCACAATATTTTAAATAAAAATGTCAAAAAATAATATTGTGGGACAGCTAGGCAGATATTTCTTTTTTATAGAAGCAAATGCATTTTTATCCTATAGTCTTCAATCCAAAGAGTTCCTAGGCTACTTTGCAAAGATCAGAAAGAAGGTAATTCCTGCAGATTAGTAATTGTGAAGAAAAAGAAAAGAGGAAAAAACACAGCTAAAAGTTCAGCAGGTAGTATTTTAGTAAATAATGGAACTGAAGCACAATAAAGGTCTGCTGATTTCTTTCTCTCTGGTAGCCTCAACTGGTACCGTGTTTCTCATAAAATAAGGCCAGGTCTTATATTTTTTGAGCCCCGAAAAAATGGCTAGGCCATCTTTTCGGGGGTGACTTAATTCCCCCCCCTTGCATCCTCATCTAGAGCGCCCCGCGGGCAGCCTCACCACCAGCCACTCCTAATGGGTGATCATGGCGAAGCGCAGAGAGCTCCCTACTCCCACCAAACACCTTTGCTGCAGACCCAAGACCTCTGGCACCCGCCGCTGTTGCTTTCCCTTCTGCCCATTCCACCGCCACATTTGGAGCTGCCACTTCTGTGTTTGGAGTGCCGCTGCCATTTGGAACACCGCCATCATGTTTGGAGCTGCCACTTCTGCGTTTGGAGCTGCCGCCGTGTTTGGAGTGGCGGCGGCGCTCCAAATGGCGGTGGTGCTCCAAACAGCGGCAGTGCTCCAAACGCGGAAGCGGCAGCTCCAAAGGCGGCAGCAGCTCCAAATGTGGACATGGCAACTCCAAACAGCAGCAGTGCTCCAAACAGCAGTGGGGTTCCAAACGCGGCAGCAGCTCCAAATGCGGAAGCGGCAGCTCCAAACAGCGACAGTGCTCCAAACAGCGGCACCGCTTCAAATGTGGAAGCAGCAGCTCCAAACGCAGTGGCAGCTCCAAATGCAGAAGCGGCAGCTCCAAACGGCAGCGGTGCTCCAAACAGCAGTGGTGCTCCAAACGTGGAAGTGGCAGCTCCAAACGCGGCGGCGGCATGGGTAGAAGGGAAATCAACAGCGGCGGGCACTGAAGGTCTTGGGTCTGCCGCAAAGGTGCTTGGCAGGAATAGGGAGCTCTCCGCGCTCTGCCATGATCACCCATTAGGAGCAGCTGGTGGCGAGGAATTGCTGCCCACGGGGCGCTCCTAATGGCAAGTCTCCCTGCCCTTCCCCCATTTTGCATGTTTTAAAATAGGCCTAAATTTGGGGGTAGGGGCTTAATTTTATGCCTAGAAAACATGCTGGGTCTTCCTATTGGGGGAGGTCGTATTGCTGGAGAAACACGGTAGTTGGAAGAAATGCTCTATCGATACCCAATGGAGTTGTTAGCTACTACTTCCTCTCTCATTCTGAAGGCATCAATAATAGAAACTGGCAGCTAGAAGCTTTATTGCAGCTTCTTCTAGCTTATAGAAAAGGTGATATTTAATTATAATTCTACAGAACACATCACATTTTGATCTATTTGGTTAATATAAATTATTTAAATGAAGTTTATCTACAAGCTATAGTTATCATGTTCTTGAATAGAGCAACACTATTTTCATAAAATAACATTAAGAGTTAAGACATTCAATTAGTTACTAATTATCCTGGCAGCGTTTCACAATTTCCATCATTCTCTAGCGTTAATAAACAAATTAGCAAAGCCTGCAGAACATGGTTTCAATAATTCTTTCTTTTCCATCTGTAGCCATAGAAGACATTACTACTGTATTTTCCTTCAGATAAAGAATTAACCTGTTGATTCTATGGGGGATGCATGATGCGGCTCTGCTCTCCCCTTATGCTGCTGCTGTGTGAAATAGCAAGCAACATAACACCTTTTTTGCAGGGCAGCATTGGTGGATATTCCTCTGGAATATTTTTCTCTGTAACGCCTGGCTGGATCTATCCCATTTACAGACTTCCTCTGCCAGACCAAATTTGGTTCTGTGCTTTCACTTTTCAAAAATATATCCAGCCGAAAGACAAAGTCCTGAGCTTTTCTTTCCAACATTCTATTGGATTAGAAAGAATAAAGAGAGAGAAACAAAAGTGAACAGTAAACATATATTAAAGCAATGATAACACTTGATCGAGTACCGCACCAACGTGCCTACCATCCCTGTCTTGATGTTCCATTTTATTCGTATCTATTTCATGTATTAATAATCATGTTTATAGTTATATATATATATTATCAAATGCATGCTTGACAAAATAAAATAAATAAATAAATATAGAATTGATGTTAAGGAGAAATCCTACAGGGAATGTCTTATCTGACTCTTTCCAATCTTTCAACAGCAGCTCCACTTAGGTCATGTGACTGAAGAGGACTTAAGAATGGGACACTTAACTATATATGAAGCTGCTGCTTTGAATGAACCAGGGGTTTTTCTGGTCCCCCGCCTTCTTGCTTTCAGCTGGAACCCACCCATGTGCAATCGCCCTTCTGCTGGGCTCTCTACAGTGCTAAATTTGGTGCTGCTTTCTTCTCTTTGGGAAAGTTATCCTGCTGATATACACTTAGACTGACAAGAGTTCTAGAACTCTACACACTTATTTTCCAACATTTGGTTGTATGTGAAGAGACTAAAAAGTTAAGAAAATATTGTAACAAATTAACACTTTTAATAATTTGACTGTAGTATATTCCAAGTTAATCTCAGATAAGGATAGGGATTTCTATTTAGTTCTACCTCAAGATTCTAGGCATCGTATTTTCCTACCTGAACTTGAAATGGACATGAAACCAATGCACCTGAGTGAAAACTTAATTAGTCTCCAGACAATTCCCAACTCATAAAAACCACAAAGATAAGCTAAAGTAAAGTAAAACATCACTTGCCCATCTTTTAGACCTGAGTTTTAAATACAGTAAGTATCTTAAGTAAATTCAGACCTTGAATATTATTTCCACTCCATGAATCTCCTTTGGCAATAGGAAAAGCATTGTCAAAAAGGTACTGAGAGTTTAGTCCTATGGGAACAAATTCTCTCTTCCAATTTATTTCAGAGATATAATTTCACATTCATAGATGCATTTTCATTCTAAATATCCTGTAAGATTATTGAAAATATAGCAAAATGCAGAGCTTTATTCAGTACATATCAGACATTGCTCTAGATCTCGCCGAAATATTTTCTGAAACTTGTATAAATTAAGAAACCAATTTTGCTTTTCTTTTATTATTACCACAACTGAGTACAAAAATATATTTTACTGCAAAAGTTACAGAAAGATTTTCACGGTATAGACTGTCATGAAATAATAAATTACAATGCCGACACTAAAAATGTGGGCCACATGTGAAAACTCAATAACAACTTGAGCTGAGATTTTTAATATGGTTTACTAATATTTTTGGAGGAAACCCTATACAAAACGAAGCTATATAAATCACGCTGGTTTTAGTGAAACTAAATGGGATTATGCATTCTCAATTGTTCTGTAGAAATCAAAAGACATTGCTACATTTTAGTTGGTTCCTGTCCAACATTTTTAATTACCAAAATCTAGATACAAATGCCTTTTATCTGAGTTTCAGAATTTCCATACTATTATATAGCAAAGTACTAAGATTTTGACTTGCATTTGGCATTAATACCTTAGAATCTGAATAGGATTTTTTCAGAAAAACCAAAAGGTCTTTACAGTCAACTGAAAAATTATTTATTCCAGTATTAAACAACGATTTAATAATAGTTTAGGAAAACCATGTGATACAGAATACAAAATGTACACTTTAAAACCATTTTATATACATATTAAATGCATGCTCTGACTGAACAGCAAAAATGTGCCCAAACAATTGGATCACAGACTCCAAAAGAACAAAAGAACACATTGGTTCATCTTGATATACATTAGAAAAAAATTAAAACGTATTCCTCCACAAATAAGCATTTTAAAATAATATACAGTACTTATATTACTACCACAGTTTTTTACATATTCATAAGTGACAATTTTGTTATTAAAGATAGTCTCGGTTTAAGTTCAGTCTGCTGGAAGCTTTACTTGCATTTACTAGTTCCCACTCATCACCATTCCAGCAATGTTTTCTTACTGTTGCAAAATATAATTTGTGTTTACAATGGATATTACTTCTTCAAATTTTATGCTGTCAACATACAAATATTACAAAGCCTATATATCAGATTGTACATGATTGCCTATTTTTTTTCCTTACATGGAACAAGAGTTAGCCCGTTTTCTAGGAACAGGCTCTCGAACCACGCTGTCTTTTTTACATATACAAACTGAGCATATTGTCTCTGACAATCTCCAAAGTCCCAATCTAAAAACACTATTTGACAGACTATATATTACACAGTTACAAAAACTATTGCTAATAGCAAGCCAGGTTGTTAAAAAAGAGAGTGCTGGATTTTCCAGCACTTTAGTGCTTTCTAGCATGAAATATATAATGTAGGGCAGCCAGAGTACATAAAACACACTGGTTATACGAAATAAAACCATAGCATAGCGGCTATCTGGGCCATGTCCAGTTTCTTCAGCAGTATCTACTTCATGACTAGGAAACCGAGCTCTCCTGTCATTTATCTCTTTGGTGTGCTGCCGGCAAATTTTGAAAATGTGGAAATATGTAAAACAGATTATAAAGGCAGCTGGAGCATAGAGTAAGCACACAATAAATCCAGTAAAATAGGCATTGGTGAGCCAAGAAGCTGCACACCATTCAAAAATGTCTCCATGATAACCTGGCTTTCCCCAACCAAAATAGGAAGGCAGGAAGATAAGTCCCGAATACAGCCAAATCAAAATAATGCAGATCCTCAATCGACAGGGAGTGACCAACTGGTTATAGGAGAGTGGTTTTGTGATTGCAAGGTAGCGATCCACACTAATGAAAGCAAGGCAAGCCATAGAAACACTTTTCAATACAGAGATGACATACACAAAAATTTGACAAGTTAAGGACTCATGAACACCTACAGAATAGTGAAGCAATGACAAGGTAGGAATTAAGCAACTAATCCCAACAAAAAGATCAGCATATGCCATAGTCTGAATAAAGTAGCTGGTAGTATAATGATGCAAAAGTGGAGCACAGTGAATGACAAAAATTACTGTTAAGTTACCAGTAATAATTAAAAATGTTAGTAAGATAATAACAATAGTCTCAAGGATACAAATGTCAATGCCACTATAATGTCCAAATCCAAAAGGGCAGGATAGATGCTCAGATACATTCACATTACTATCATTCATATTCAGATTCTTCCATTCAGTCCACGTGAACTGGTTCATAGTTTGTATTATTTGACAATATAGTCAGAATTCCAGTTACTAGCGATCCATTGTTCACCTGCTATTTTTTTTTCCTGTGGCTCAGTTTCTCCATGTAAATATTAACATTGCTTCTGAATAGCCAGCACTGAAATCTAGAAAGCAAGCAGAAAGGCCACCATCCAGCTTCTTCCTGTACTCCTTCCTTTCTCAGCAAAGCACAAGGCACTTTTAAACAAAACCAATCATTCAAACTACACTTTTGAAAGGCAGAAATACAAAAATAGCAGCGTGGGAAGAAAAGAAATACACAATGTTGCAGTTAAAAATTCTAGAAGTACATTTTCCTGGGGAAGGGAGGAATTTTTTAAAAAGGAAGCCATGGCAAAAAAAATGCTCCATATACTATTTTGATCATAATGTTCCTTGTATCATCTTAATCTGCGTTTGTATGGATATTGTTCTGAACCCATGAATGCAAACTAGGTTCATTAGTCTTTGGTAATAATGTGTTAAGAAATATAGTTAAAGTAGTAACTGATATATGAAGACTCCTGTCATCCCTTTGATGAATTAAATCTTCTCTGTTTAGTTAAGAAGATAAAATATAATAAAGAAAAGGCACACAGTGGCGTAGTGTTAGAGTTTTAACAGCCAATTCAGTTTGAAACACTTTGCCAACCTTAATGTGAAAATCTCAGCAAGATAATCCAAGCTTCTCACAGAATACAAAACTTGCATTTAATGTCAGGAAAAACAAAGTGAAATCATTGACTTCTGAAATAAGGCTACAACTGCAACAACATAGAATCATTATAGTGAAGTTCATAGCTCTGTCCCAGTCACTTCTCTCCTCTATAGCAATCTCCATATTTTTTTTCATATGTTCAACACAGTGCTATCATTAACTCTCATCTACATTTTTTCTGAGAAGCTAATGAAATGTTGATTTAACAAGAAAAGCTGTCATGGTACAGTATTATTCCATTTATTTTCTGGATTCATTTTCTCAGTTGCTGTGTGTGTATTTTCTTTAGTAATTAAATAACCATCTGCTTTCAAAGGCTTGTATGATGTGGCAAAACATTAACATATTCATTACATTTGCAATAATGACAGATCCATGGGTTACAAAAGTTCTTTCAATACTCACTAATAAGCAGGCATTCGATACATGCAGCAGTCTTACTTTCTAACCTATTTCTACACAAATCAAATGCATTTTTAATTAAAGATCCAAAAAAAAGCAAATAATCCAGTCTTAAAAAAATAAAAATCCAAAGTCACTTCAATTTTATATTAAAGCTCAGGTGAAGGGCTCTTTTTTTTTCCTTTTCCTTTTTAAAGTCCTGGAATCACACTTGTGCTATTTAATAGTCCATGGTGTGGAATTCCTTTCATGAGAGGGAGATTAAGTATTTTCTCTGCTCCTGCTGCAGCAATGGAATAGAAGACATCCTTTTCTAAGTTTCACGCCTCATGTTCCTTATCACCACGAAGTGCTGAAAATCCTTATTTTTAATGCCATCCATAACATGTTGCCTATGATATGCTTCCGTAAGCAGTCCAAACTACTATAAAATTAGTACTGATTGCATTCTCTTCCCGAAGCAATAACGTGTATTTGGTAATACACTAGCTTTTGTCTCAAAATGAGGTGCAGATGCTATCCTGCTCGCTGAAAGAGTGCTCTTTCTATTCTTTACATGTTTCCGTGTGATATTACAGTTTTCACCCTAAGTCTGCCCCTCCTCTTCATCCTTAGCTGATGCAGAAAAACCCACCATCAGGAAGGTGACTCGGTCCTTCAGTCCCAGTCAAAAGCACAGCCAATGGCTATTACAGCTGAAGCTGTCACTAGGTAACAGTTGCCAGGCACAATGCTAGCTTATACCCTTCCACAGCAATCCATGAATAAGGATGACAAGGGAAGATAATGAAAATGACCACCCAAATTAATATATTGCAAACTGTAGGAACAGAGACGTTTTTGTCGGCTATATTCTTCCAATTAACAAACCATAAAATATTCATTGGGGTAACACTACAATGCTCCATCACCAAAGCCATTTTTACTGAACTATATACCGGAACAGCACCAGTTAGCAAGTCAAAGTAATTTAATTCTTACTGACAACAATTGTCTATTAATTATTAAACTCACCAAAAATAACAAAAAATTCCTGTAGTCAGCTGACATTTCAAATTTGGATCATGATAACAACTATAATGAAAGCAAACATGTAAAATGTATTATAAAAACATCCATTCATTTATTTCCATGAATGCTCATGGTAAATAATGATAATAATCAAATTCTCAACACATGCTACATTGCAAAACCTAAGATTACTATATATTACCCAAATCTACAGAATCTTAATAGCACTATAAAATTGCTCTTAGTGTAATAGCCTAGTAATTGCATCATTAAAGATCCTAAAATTATATCAAATGCAGAAGTTGTTTGTTTTCTTGCAATAAAATGCTCTGATGTTAAATAACTATATTGTTTGCCTTTATTGGGTTGCTAACACCTTTTACTGGAATACTTAGTATTTTATAAATAGGTTTAATATGAGTGAATTGCTATGTTCCAAAGACTTCATTTATTTTATTTCTATTTTTAAACAATTACTATGGCTAACTATCTTACAATAGTGACTCCCAACAACCAGAATTAAAGCAACATGATCCCTGATATCTAAGGTATACAATATGTCTCAAAGAGAAAAAAAAAACATCAAGAGTGGAGTTCACCTAATCCTCTGGCCCAAATACCTGGGAAATGGGCATTGATACTTACCTGATGCACCCGTTCTTGGTGAGCTGTGAAGAACATCAGTCTCCTCTTGAATAGGCTAGGCTTAATTGGCAGGACGCTCCTCCTCCTCTACGGGACCCCTCCCTAGCGTCCCCCAGGTTTTGGCAAAGTCGAAGTGTTGAAACTTTCTATACTTTACCCTATCTAACGTGTGGCCGGAATAGTGCCCCACCAGACGGAATAAGGATGGGGCTGGATGCTCTTCACAGCTCATGGAGAACAGGCGTATCAGGTAAGTACCAATGCCCATTCTCCCCTGAGCTTTTCAGAGCATCTAGTAGTGGGACATACCAAAGCTTGGACTGTCCTACGGGAGGATCTCCATCTGGTTAGAAGTCCCTCGTTGGTCCCTGTGGACACTTTGTAAAACCCTCCTACCAAATGCAGCCTCGGCAGAGGCATAAACATCAATTTTATAGTGTCTAATGAAGGGCGATGGAGAGGCCCAGGTTACCGCCCTACAGATCTCATGTAGTGGTGCCTGTGTGACCCATGATGCCAAAGTCGCTGCACTCCTGGTAGAATGGGCTGTTATATCTCTGGAAACTGGCAGTGATTGCATCTCGTATGGTTTAGCAATCATGGCCCTCAACCACCTGCCAATTGTTGAAGAGGAAATGTTACATCCTTGAGTGGTAGGTTGAAACGAAATAAACAGAGCCTCTGATTTTCTAAAATTTGCAGTGCAGTCTATATAAGAGTGTAAAGCTCATTTCACATCAAGTTGATGCCATTGATGTTCGAGTCTATGGTTTGGCCTTGGGCAAAAGTTAGGAAGGCACTCTTGTGCCCTGTGGAAAGCCGAGTTAACTTTTGGTATGAATGTTGGGTCAGGTTGAAAGACCACTCTGACGGTATGGAAAGTGCAAAGGTCCTGTCTCACTGATAAAGCTGCAAGTTCGGAGATTCTTCATGCTGAAGTTATTGCGACTAAGAAGACCACCTTATAGGTTAGGAAGCAGAGACTTGTAGTCCTTAGGGGCTCAAAAGGACCATTTGTGAGTGCAACTAAGACTTTGTCAAGGTAGTTGTGTGTTGCTGGGGGATGCAAACAGGTCGATGACTGGTTGGCCAAACCTCTGGGTTGCTTCCCGAAAAAGATCTGGATGTAGGCACCATTCTGCCTGATCTACCATGGCCCAGCCAATCTGCCTGGGTATTTGACCGACCCGAGATGTTCTCCGCTTTGATGGAAAGTAAGTTGATCTCGGTCCAAAGGCACAATCTCTCCACCTTCTTCATCAGCTGTCTCGAATGGATACCCCCTGCTTGTTGATATGGGCCTTTGTCGTAATGTTGTCTGTCAGGATGAGGATGTGCTTGGACCGAAGCTGCGGGAGGAAGCTGTGAAGAGCCAGGTGGACTGCTTTGAGCTCCAACCAATTTATGCTGCACGATTGCTCTGGTATGGCCCAACGCCCTTGTGCTGTGTGACACTGGTAGTGAGCCCCCCAGCCAAAGAGACTGGCATCCGTCGTGATGGTGGCTCTGTGGGGGTCTTTGAAATGACAGCCCTTGTTGATAGATGGGACAGTCCACCAATGAAGTGATCTCAGCACCCTTGGTGGAGGTGTGACTCGGGCGTTGGTGGTGTCTCTTCCTGACCTGTTAGTACGGCAGCAACTACCATTGCAGGGTTCTAGCGTGGAGCAGGCCCAGGGAACAAAAGAGATGCTGGAGATCATTTTCCCCAGTAATTTAGATAAGAGAGCTAGGGGCACTCACTTGATGGTTCTGATCTCCTGAGATAGTTGTCTGCCTGTCTGGTGAGAGGAAGTCCTTACCATCCATCATATCAATAATGGCTCCCAGGTGAACTAGCCGGGTAGAGGGAGTTTGGTGACTCTTAGCCCAGTTTATAGAGAAACCATGTTGTTGAAGGGACTGCAAAGTAATAAGAGTATCTGATTTGGCCTGTTGACAGGAAGATGACAAAATTAAAATGTCATCAAGATAACACTGTAGCCTGACAGAAGCATTTCTGAGATGGGTGGCCAGGGCTGCCAGAACCTTAGTAAAAGTCCTGTGGGGCGGAAGCTAGACCAAAAGGGAGGGCGACATACTCAAAGTGTAGATTAGAATAGCAGAATGTGGGGAATTTACTGTGGGAAGGTCGAATTGGAATGTGTAAATATGCCTCTGTGATGTCAATTGATGTTAGGACGTCACCCTGTCTAATGCTAAGTAAAATAGATTGTAGGGTGGTCAGTTGAGACGTTTCAGGTCTAAAATTGCCCTCCATCACCCTGAACTTTTCGGCACCACAAAGTGTGAATAAAAACCTTTGCCCTGTTGGTCTGGTGCCACTGGTCAAATGGCCCGGATCTCCAATAGCGGTTGATAGCTGTTTGTATAAGAGATCTTTTATCAGGGTTCCTAGACCTTGGGCATCTCATGAAAAAGTTCGGAGGGGTGGATTGGAACTCCAGACCCAACCCAAATCTAACTGTGTCCCTGACCCAGGAATCAGACGTGGAG